GGGAGGGAACGAAGAAGTAAGGGACAGAGAGGGAGGGAATAAAGAAGGGAAAAAGATGTGCAAACTTTTTTTAATGGTTCACATCCACTACCATCACTTTCCAATGAACAATTTCCTCTCTTAATAATATAATCACTTGAGATATCTCCACCTGCCATCTAGGAGACAAAGGAGATATCTCTTTCTCTTGCGTTCATAATTGGAGCTAAAAAACCATCTCTGACGTTAAGTATTTGCCTCAAATGTTTATTCACCTCCATGTTTATTCAGTGATGCTCCGCCTATCAAAGAAAACGGATTTTCTTTGGTAAACATGGAGAGACTAACTTAAACAGGACTGCCCTTCATTTACTCGTGGGCGGCTGAGGATTTTGTAAGATATGGTTAGAAGGGATGGAACACACACACACACACACACACAGACATGTAAACAGAGAGACAAAGGTATAGGTGAGCCAGATAGTCATAAGCATCAGAGAAAGTGATTGTCTTTACGTGAGGTGAGTGTGTAGGGAGGGGGGTCAGGGCCGTGGGGGACAGGTATGAGAGAGAGAGAGAAGGATGCAATCACAAATTCATACCATATATGGGCGCGTTCTCTCTCTCTCTCTCTCTCTCTCTCTACCTCAGGATTCCCAATAGTTCGTCCGTTTAAATCATCCTCGTCACTGAAGATGTCCGAACGTATCTAACTGGCTGACTTAAACACACAAATAACGTCCAATATGATAAAATTACACTGAATCGAGGTTCTAAATACGTAAGAGACAGACAGACTAACAGTTAAAGTAGGACAAAATAGACAGGAAGACAGACAAACAGAGACGTTAAGAATAGTCGGTTGTGTAATGCTCGAAATGGGTGTGAAGTCCAAGTCATGGCCGGGTTCATGGATTGAGACGCAGGTATATACACAAAAGTCAGCTGATCGCAGAGTTGTGAACATCTGAAGGAAAACCTAGATTGTCTCTCCCACACGTGGCCAGGTGAGGAGGAGGAGGGATAGGTAGAAGGTAGAGGAAAGGATGGGGGAAGCGAACGTATTTATTGTTAAAAATTATTGTGAGCTATAACACACACAATACAGCGCCCATGGTCTGGTTACCACACACAAACGGTAAACGAACTGAACGAACACACGCCTGTCACTCGTGGCTGACCAAGCACAGGCAAGCAAACATAATCCAGCGCGCGATACAATAACACAAAATATAAGCAACGGAGAAGAAGATTCATGCAAGCAATCACTCACAAGCAAACACGATACATCACACACACACACACACACAGGTACACACACACACACACAGGTACACACACACACACACACAGGTACACACACACACACACACACACACAGGTAAGGGCGTCGTGACTACAGCAGCTTCACAACACACCCGAGAAACAGGTCACAGGTGGGCAACCGACCTTGACGCCTTCAGTCCGTACCATAAACATTGCGCCAGTACGAGCGATCACGAACGTCAGACTAGCTTCTGCTTATCTCTTAGTCCGTTACGTACAGACAGCGCCAGTACGAGCGATCACTAGCGTCAAATGTTACCTTTCCACCATGCAATGAAATATGGTCATGGAAATTACGCCAGACGAACGATCGTCCGTCTTTTGCTTGTTGTGGAGAATTTTGATGGTGTGTGTGTGTGTGTGTGAGACAAACACACATAACTTGACTAAACACGGTCACACATAAAAGGCTTGACACGACTGCCTGACCTGACCTGAAGAAGGCTTTGAGAGAGAGAGAGGAAGGAGGGTAGAAGGAGGGAAGCAGCTCGGGGTCAGGTTAGGTCAGTTTACAGCCACTCTTGAGTCTTAGTTTAAAAGTGAAAAAACAACAACTGCTTGTTATAGATCAGTGGTTCTCAACCGTTTTTGGCTGCTACCCTAAATTTCCCAACAATACGGAGTCGTGACCCTCAGGCATATAATATTTTATATAGCTTCAATGTTAAGTAATAATTTCTTTGACTATGATAAGTACTATATTTTTTAAATTGTCTGAGGGCCCCTCGCGACCCTACTGAGGACACCCCACGACCCTGATTTGGGTCGTGACCTGAGGTTGGGAACCGCTGATACTAGTGTGAGTCTCTCTCTCTTCTCTCTCTCTCTCTCTTTTTAATTTTAGGGAAGACTAAGGAACAAGAGAGGAGAGAGAGAGGGGAGGGACAGGGAGGTAGGTGTGCCGGGGTGAGGGAAAGTTGGGATGGTAGGAGGGTTGCTTAATGCTGTTGTGTGTGTGTGTGTGTGTGTGTGTGTGTGGGTGTGTGTGTGTGTGTGTGTGTGTGGGTGTGTGTGTGTGTGTGTGTGTGTGTGGGTGTGTGTGTGTGTGTGTGTGTGATGGATGGATGTAATTTTTGTGCATTTGAGTACCTTAATAAACATAGGAACAGACATAAACAGACAGGTTGACAAAGACAGACGAACAGACAGACAGACGTATTTATCACCAGAAAGCTCAATTTATCTGCCAACCACTTGATACTAATCATGTTAATCTACCATTATCACCACCAACCACCACCACCACCAACCACCACCAACCACCACCACCACCACCACCACCAACCACCACCACCAACCACACCACCAACCACCACCACCACCAACCACCACCAGCACCACCATCACCACCACCACCACCACCAACCACCACCACCACCAACACCACCATCACCAACCACCACCACCAACCACCACCACCACCATCACCACAACAACAACCACCACCATCACCACCAACAACAACCACCACCACCACCACCACCACCATCACCACCAACAACAACCACCACCACCACCACATCACCACCAACAACAACCACCACCACCACCATCACCACCAACAACAACCACCACCACCATCACCACCAACAACAACCACCACCACCATCACTACCACCAACAACAACAACCACCACCTCTACCACCAACAATAAACCCAGCCTCCCTTCACCCCCTCCCCTCACCTCTTTCCCTTCACCCCTCCCCCACCTCTTTCCCTTCACCCCTCCCCTCACCTCTTTCCTTCACCCTCCCTTCACCTCTTCCCTTCACCCTCCCCCTTCACCCCTCCTTCACCTTCCCTTCACCCTCCCCTTCACCCTCCTCCTTCACCCCTCCTTCACCCCTCCCTTCACCCTCCCCTTCACCCTTTCCCTTCACCCCTCCCCTTCACCCCTCCCTTCACCTCTTCCCTTCACTTTTCCTTCACCCTCCACCCTCCCTTCCCCCCTCCCCTTCACCCTCCCCCACCCTCTTCCCCTTCACCCCCTTCCCTTCACCTCTTCCCCTTCACCCCTCCCCTTCACCCTCCTCCTTCACCCTCCCCTTCACTCCTCCCCTTCACCCCTCCCCTTTACGCATTCCGCCATTGCCCCAACACAAGTGTTAGTCATGGCACTACTGAATCACCACAGTGATATTTACGCGACCTCAACGACCCTAATTGGTAGTTGAAGGTGTTGTTATGGCTGAACTACTACACCTCCCCAAACTCTTACCTTAAGCAACCTAAACTACGAACAGAGTTAGTTAGTATGTATGTAAAGATCAACCGCGGTGAGTAGCCCTGACCTGCCTATGGAACTACTGCTTATAAGTAAGGTGTGTGTGTGGGTGTGTGTGGGTGTGTGTGTGGGGTGTGTGTGTGTGTGTGTGTGTGTGTGTGTGTGTGTGTGTGTGTGTGTGTGTGTGTGTGTGTGTGTGTCCATCCACTGAGGTCACCATACACATCCCAGAACCTGTTGTGTGTGTGTGTGTGTGTGTGTGTACCTACCCACTTACCTGTCTGTGTACATAAAGTGAACCCCTATAAACTGACCACCCCTTTAAAGTGACCACTCCGCACCCCCACAATCAGGTCACTCCATATAAAGACCAATTTTTTGACCCGCAGTTCCAACATCTTTAAGGAGGGAGATCCTGACCTTTGACCCCTCACCCTCCTCCTTTACCCCTCCCTTTCAAGCCTGACCCAATCTTTCTGCTCCACTTGCTCTGACTTCAACTGACCTCATCTAACACTACCTGATGTAAACCTGACTTCATTTGACATAAATTGACATCAGCTGACTTCACTTGACATCACCTGCCACTACTTCTACTACTACTACTACCTCCTGCAGTGACTCGTAAGACCAAGTGGATGCAGTGGCCGTGTAGGATGGTGTAGTGGTCACCTGTCCACACCTGAGACACATGAGATAATTATCATGTGACGCTCTTACCCCCTCCATCTCTCTCTCACTCTCCTTCCTTCCTTCCCAACACTTCTGGTGACAATAGATATAAGAAATAGGTGAAGATAGACAGACGTAAATAAGATAGAAGGAAGGAAAAGGTTAATTAAAACTCATAAAATACATTAACATAATAAATATTTTAGTCGACTTACATTAAAAGTATTTATTATTTTACCTGTCTTTGCTTTACCATTTTACTACACACGTTTCTGTTTTAACATTTTGTTTTTTTCTTTACAAATATCTAAAGCTACTTCCCATCATAATGTCTTAATTACTGTCTACTACAACACTCTCTCTCTCTCTCTCTCGATAAGATTTACAAAAAAATTTCCAATGAACGTTTGTAGGTCTTGATCATAGGAGGTCTTAATAGGTCTTTCTTAGCCCCCACAAGACTCCAAGACCACTCCAAAAGGTCACACAAGGTCAGGTCACAAGAGGGTCTTAGTTTTAGTTTAACAAATTTATTGGCAGAGCTTGTAGTACAGTTTGCCTATTCTGAGTAATTCAGTCAGGTCTTGACACTGAGGGTGGTATCACTTCTCACTGCCACGCAGGACAGAGGTTCATACACAAAGAAATACATCATATTCATTAACAGCTATAAATGTATAGAGGTCAGATTCATGTGGGTAATGTCACTGTTCACTGCCATGCAGGACAGAGGTTCATACACAAAGAGATGCATCATATTCATTGACAGTACATACACACACACACATATACATACATATACATATATATTACACATATACATGTACATGTACATATATATACACACACGCACACATACATACATATACGTCGGGTCGAGGTTAGTAGAGGTTCTCCAGCCCTAACTTAGACTCTGCCACCTTGAAGGACGCTTGTGCCATGTTCATGAAGCCGCCCGGTAGTGATTTGGTCATATCCAGCGCCCCCGAGGTCCGTGGAGGTCAGAGGGAGGTCAATATGCTGGAGGTCTCTCTCTCCCTGGCACTTGACATTATTAGGGACCTGCCACGCTTTGCTATAAACAGATGAAATGTACCGGGAATTTCCCCCCACACACTCATCATTCTGTCACTTTATGTAACTTGCTGACAAAACCCATGACCCTTCAGGTTTCCACGCCCTTAATGCATGAGTCATAAAGGCAAGCATGAACTCCGCATGCTTCCCAGTTGGGCACTGTAAACGCTTCTGCGCTTCACCTTGCACAGGATGTAAGGGGGTGCCCAATAAACTAGCCCCCTCGGGGGCATTCTGTAAAAAAAAATCTGTATCTCTCTCTCTCTCTCTCTCTCTCTCTCTCTCTCTCTCTCTCTCTCTCTGTCTCTCTCTCTGTCTCTCTCTCTCTCTCTCCTTTTTACTCTGCGTACCACACTAACCCATTTGACAGACAGACATTTACTCACTTACTGACAGTAGAGGTGACGGCAGCCAGACTCGCCCCCATCACACGCCCCACGAGAGAGGAGCTTTGTGGGGTCTCCAGTGGGGACAGGGGCCTCCAGGGCATCTCCCTCAGGAACTCCCCCACCATCTGGTTCACCTGTGAAGCGTGGCTCAGGTGAGACAGATAAACTCCTCCAGGTATTGGCTTGATGGTGATCCTCTCGACGTACTCTGTTGGTGAGGAGGTGAAGGTGAGGTGAGAGAGAGAGAGAGAGAGAGAGAGAGAGAGAGAGAGAGAGAGAGAGAGAGAGAGCATCAGCTAGTCTATTTCTATTCATCTTCTGATCTATTTATCTGTCTATTTATGTATCTATCAAACTTCTCTATCTATAAAAAAATCAATCAATTAAATCTATCAATCTATCAAATCTATCTATCCAGGTTACATAAGAACATAAGAACATAAGAAAATAAGGAGTCTGCAATAGGCCGGTTGGCCTGTGCATGGCAGCTCCTGTCGAGAGTTACTACCACTCTCTATCATCCATGAATCTGTCCAGCCTCATTTTAAAACTTTCCAGCGTTCCAGCACTTACTACAAAGTTGCTAAGCTTGTTCCACTCGTCCACCACCCTATTTGTGAACCAGTTCCTTCCTATCTCCCTCCTAAACCTAAACTTATCAACTTGGATCCGTTGCTCCGAGTCCTATCCTGCTCGGATATTATAAGAACTTTATCTATATCCCCTTTATTGATTCCTTTCACCCACTTAAATACTTCTATCATATCTCCCCGCACTCTTCGTCTTTCTAGGGAATGCAAGTTAAGTTTCTTTAACCTATCCTGATATGGAAGGTTTCTAAGTCCCGGAATCATTTTCGTCATTCTTCGCTGCACCGACTCTAGTAAATTGATATCCATTTTATAATAGGGGCACCAGAACTGAACCGCATAATCGAGGTGCGACCTGACTAGCGCAAGATATAGTTGCAATAAGACCTCTGCACTCTTATTACTTACACTTCTAGATATACAACCTAATACTCTGTTTGCCTTATTTCGAACATTAACGCACTGTTTTCTAGGCCGTAGGTCCGGGCTTACAAGTACCTCTAGGTTTCTTTCACAAGTTGACTTCTCTAGGTTGATGTTGTTAAGGCTGTATACATTGTCAGTATTTGTTCTTCCAATATTAAATACGCTGCACTTGCTGGTGTTGAATTTCATTTGCCATTTTTCAGACCACCCCTGCAGTTTATTTAGAGCCTCCTGTAATGCATTTGCATCCTGCCCTGAATTAATCTGTCGCCCTATTTTGGTGTCATCCGCAAACTTGCTTATGTCACTGCTGATCCCAGTATCTAGATCGTTTATGTAGATTATGAACAAGAGTGGGCCTAGTACTGACCCCTCGGGAACCCCACTGGTTACACGGCCCCACTCAGATTTAACACCATCTACGCTGACCCTCTGCGTTCTATCGGTGAGCCATGATTTTATCCAATTTAAAACTTTCCCTCGATACCATGAGCCTTAATTTTTCTCAGAAACTACTCTGATGCGGTACTCTGTCAAATGCTTTGCTAAAAGTCTAAATGCAAAATAACATGTAATTTTCGTCATTATCTACTACCTCGAACTTTCCTAAAAACGTCAGCTTGAATTTGTTGAACAAGATTTTCCTTTGTAAGTATGTTGCAGTCGTAGATTAATTTGCTTTTCTCTAGATGCGATCGGATGCTATCTGCTATATTGATTCGAGAATTTCCCCACTACTGACGTCAAACTGATCGGCCGGTAATTTGACGCTGATGCTCTGTCTCCTTTGCGAATATGGGTACTACATTTGCCTGTTTCCACAAGTCTGGCACAACTCCCGTGTCTAATGATTTTGTAAATAAGTTTACGAGGGGTCCGCTAATCTGTTCCCTACACTCTTTCAAGACTCGTCTGGCCCTGGGGATTTTGTCTTCTTTAGTTTATTTATCCTCTTAAGAACATCCTCTTTTCTGATAGTGATATTCTTTAATTTCTCTTCTTCCTTTCTCCTAAATATCAGTTCCATCTCTGGTTAGGGCATTTAATCATCAGATGAAATGATCTTAGGTGTTGTCTAATCTTCAGGTGATCTGGTGTCTCCTTAGTAGCTCACCTGCAGAGCGGTAGGCAGTGTCTATGGGAAGTAGGTGGTCACTGTCGCCCATGATGAGGAGGATGGGCTTGGTGATGACGTCAGGAGAGGGTTCATCCTCTCTTGGCCTCCTCAGGTCCAACTGACGGAGGTGGTGTAGGGGGCCCGTCCAGTCCTCTAGGGGGAGGGAGTAGAGGGGAGGGGTTGGTTAATGGTGACGAGAGTTGAGAGAGGATAGACAGAGGGACTTTAACCCCTTGAGTACTGTACCTTAACCCCTTCAGTAGCCCAGTATGCCTTATGACTGACTACTACTGCAGAAGATATGCCTGACTCACCTCTCCTAGAAAAGGTGAACTTGTAGGCCTCAAGTTCCTCCTCCGTGATGGTCTTGTTCTTCACTAGGGAGCTGAACAGTCGGTCCACCAAGCCCACGTCGTTCACCTGCGCCGCCATCTCAGGTAAGAAGGGCAGCCGCACGAACCACAAGTACCTGACGAAGGGAGGAGATACAGGTGGTAATAATTGACGAAGGTGACGAGGATTAGGTTAGGCTGGGTTAGGTTAGGTTTGAAGGTCATTGGCATGGTACAAGAAGAGAACACAACACCTACCTGACGAAGAGGGAAACTTATAATCTCAGACTTTTACAGGTGTGTTAAAATACCCGAAGGAGAGTTCTCCAAAGGCCATGGAATTTCGTACGTGTGAAAAAGACCAGATTACCTAGAAACTCGCCAGCTGCTGCTCAGTAAAAAAAATTAGTAAACATATATGAATCTCCTTCTACAGCCCAGGAAAAAAACAAGAGAACTCGATCTCCACGTCACAACTCACCAGGATTTGTAATAGTTCATCCAGAGGGTGTTAACCATATGGCGGATGACGTATGGATGAGGACAGTGGATGAGCACCATCTTAGACACCAGCTGAGGGTAGTGGTAACACATGTGCCACCCCACCTGTCCTCCTACACCTGCACACATCAGGTGAGCGCTCGTCTGACCTGGAGTGGGTTAGGTTAAGTTAGGTTGTTTATGTTTTGACACAACAAAACCCATTTTGTTTATGTTTGGGGGTAAATATTGTTTTACTGATATCTTGAAGTATGTGGCCCTGAGGATCACAAGAGGTCACTGATGAACACCTTAATACTCAACTACTGAAGAACACGTGAAGAACATCGACTGAGGAACACCATACACCCCTTGGAGAAAACTTCTGATGAACACCTAATTAAGAACACCTACAGAGGAACAGGTGAGCAGGACGACGTACCCAGGAGCCTGATAAGATGGGCAACGTCGTCAGCCAGGAGGGCGGTGGTGTACTGAGTCCTGAGGCGCGGCGTGTCCGAGTCACCACAACCCCTCATGTCCACCGCCACCACCCTGCAGGAGGATACACTGTCATGAGGAACTACTGACGAAGGAATCCCCCCTCACCACCTGATGAAGGAGTACCCCTCACCACCTTACTCACCAGTAGTCGTGGCTGAGGGCGGGAATCTGTCTCCTCCAGGTGAACCAGAAGTCAGGAGCCCCGTGGATCATCACCAGCAGCGGGTTGAAGGGGCTTCCTGCCTCCACGTAGTGAAGCTTCATGTTCTGGAGAAAGACTCGTGTTAAAAATCACAACCGGCTCATATTAGACAATTTCCAGTTATGTGAAAACTTACATAAGGAATTCAGATTATGTTAGTTTATTTCGGACTATCAAAACAAGTACAGGTGTAGATATAAAGTACCTGTACCCTCGTCATTAGTGTTAATTCACTTGTACCTTCATCAGTAGACTCACCTGCAGCTTGATGAACTTGTGTCTGCCGAGGAGGGGGTCATGGAGGCACTGGGGAGGCACGACACGCACAAACGGGGGGTGGAGGGCGCCCCTGGACCACGCCCACACAAGCTTACCCAACATCAACACCCCGTACACCACCGCCAGCGTCCACTCCACCAGGGCTATGAACAAGTCCCGGAGAAAATGCATCATTGTAATTTTATCTGAACGTCTTGACTCACTCACTGGCCCGCTCACTCTGCTGGCTTCTCACTTCACCACCACCACCATGCAGAGTAACAGAGAGTAGGTACAGTACTTCCAACACAAGACCGCCTCAAGGACTCCACTCAAGTACAGCACCAAGATTGTTTTCCCCTCACACCACCGTCCTCAGATAACTCTTATGATCTCTTAAATCCCTTTCAAAGAAAAAGTTTCAGCAGGAATTTCACTAAATATATCATCGTCCACCATCACGTCACCATCTCAATAGTCACTTTACACAGGAGTAGCCCAACATCGTCGTCAGTTCTTCTTCAGGTAGGTATCCGTTGTGTTTAAGCATCAGATCCTCGCAACTCTGTCCCTACACAAGACACTGAGCGCCTCCCAAACACCTTCTTGAAAGGATCATGGTTGAGGCAGTACTGGTCGGCTGTTACTACCAGCAGCACCAATAGTAAGGTAAGTCATCGGTGTCTTGTTGATAGAGAGATAACAGGCCGCTGATAACACAACTATCAAGGGTCGCCTGGTATAAGGGTGGTGCGTCAGATACAAGCTAGGCACGTTCTCTTGTGTAAGACATCTCTCTCTCTCTCTCTCTCTGTATGTGTACTTTTCGATAAAATAACTATCAATAACGTTCGTATTAATACAGTAGATATTGCAAGCCAACCATACCTGATTAAACCTAACTTACCCAAACTTTGAAATCAAAGCCTATTTAAGCTTTTTCTGTTTTAAATCTGACGATAAGAGTAACTACCGTAATAACAACCTTGGATATTGTAAACATAACTGACCTAACAACACTACTGTACTTATCGAAGGAAGATGAAACCTGTCGTCTCATCTGAAGGTGTTTTATGTCGTCGTTCAGGCAAGCAATTTATCGTTCGTGAATGCACATATTCAACCCAGACTTGAGTCATCGCGTTTGTGAATACATTAATCCTGAAGCCGGATGCAGTAAACATGTCATTCTCTTACACAACTCACCGTCCTGTCCTCTGACTGTAAAGGCTGAGCTTTACCCGAGGTGATCTGTCACCGTACACCCTACAGTTGATTAAAGTCCAAAGTTGTGGCTAAGCGGCGCGTTGAGATAATGTTTATCTGTGGTGTTTAGTGGATGATATTGTATGGACTTTAGCTGTATGGGAAGGTCATAGTTCGGTCCATGACGTGCCACAGAAATGCTCCTTGGTCCTCCTTGTCACCTGACACACACACACGTGTGAAAAAAGAAAAGAGATGAAATAAGGACACACACATTGAATCAACGCCAGAGTTTAGCTGAACTGTAAATCATGAGACTTCCTGCGCCTTCGTCAAGATACTTCAGTAAGTAACAGAGCCCTTCTCTTCACTTTATCTCAATTTAATATACTTGACTTTATATTCTTCGCCACTTATCAATTATGAGCCGGTCGGGCAGGTGCTGGTCATGTAGGTGCTTTAAAGGGCCTCTTACTGGATGATGTCACAACATTCTCTGACATCCTTTGTTTTGTAAAGTAATTTGTTATATAATTGATTACTCAGTCAGCCAATAGTTAGGTAGCTAATTATAGGCAGTTGTTCGTTATTTAGTTACTTAAATACTGAATTTTACTCAGCATCACTTGAAGTTATACCAGGAGTTTTCCTTAACTAGTTACATTTTCTTAGTAACAGGAGACAAAACTAGATTACAGTAACTTTGCCAATCCGTACCTTAATTGCCCATACTTAGGCCACACAGGTGTAATTAACTTAGGTAGTAGGTAGCTACAAAACAGGGAGGTACTACCGCCTGGGAAGATATTGGAAACATAATTTATTGTCTAATGGTAGACCCTGCTGCCATTTGGCATCACGAAAATTGTGAACAAGTCCCAGGTTGCTGATCTGACTTTCTGCCACATTTACACACAATTGCAGGGTCTCAATTGTCTCTCTTATCATTGACAACACAACATACACATATTGTTTCACTTTTTTATCTTTTTTGTATTTTATTATTATTATTATTATTATTATTATTATTATTATTATTATTATTATTATTATTATCATCATCCCCCAGGCCCTGATGTGGGTCAGTGACCTGTGCCCGGGTGGGCTAATCCCTGTAAATAAAACACACACACACAAAAACTTACCTAATGTTAACCATCGCAGTGCCGCCCAGACCGTGTCAGTGGCCGCAGATAAGTTCACCCTCACACAATCCCACATCTCGTAGGCTGGCTGACGATCAGTGTATATTTGCAAATATCATTATATTCACGCACTACATTTGTCTTCTGTTAACCCGTAACCAGTCCAAATGTATCAAAATATTGTTAAATTATTATTTAAATGCCTTACGTAAACACTAAAAGGGTGATGTAATCGCCACGTCTTAAACTTAGAACGCTGGAGGACGTATCTGATCCTCGTCACACTACACACACTGCTACAAGTGGTGATGGCACGGTTCTGTTTGGTCTCCGTCAGACAACACCTTCACTCATGACGCTGATGAACAAGTATATCCTGAGTACATCCGCTGTGATGTAATACACCTTGATCTATTTTTTTTAAGTGATACCGATTTGAATTCTAGAAGTTCCTACTTATTTTATATATATATATATATATATATATATATATATATATATATATATATATATATATATATATATATATATATATATATATATATATATATATATATATATATATATATATATATATATATATATATATATATATATATCCTTTTATTTTAATATAATGGATTCTCATATATCATCCTAAGTTATCTCACTAAACCAATAAAATAAAAGACGGGATAACAGAGAAGTTAAAGAAAACTACACCTGCTATAGTTTACCCGTAAATATCTGTAAAAGAAAATGTATCCTTTTTTAGTAAATGACTGAAAACGAATTATTTAATGCGTAACTTTATCATAATGAAATTATTCAAATTTTCATTTGTTCTATTACTGCACTGATTGTACTTTATTTTAGTTGTGTAGAAAAGTATCTAAAAGGCCTACACCGTAGTTAAATTAATCCATGTTGTATTAAATTTCACTGTAATGCTTGTTCTAGTTAGTCACGCTTTAGTCAGGTGCACAGTACATTACTTTCCAAGCTGAAATACTTCCTTGATGATATTTCTAGTTAATATTTTTTTTAATTCTGATCCATCATTAGTCTAAAAATACTGTACCTGTAGTGAAGTTTTATTTTTTAAATTGCAGTACAGTATACAGTTTTAGGCCAAGTTTCTTTTTCATTTCCATTTTTTATAATCAGAAAATATGGCTTTTCGTCCCTGTACAGTATTACACAGTACAGTACATCATCTCTCAACTCTAGCCCAAAGAAGTAATGAAGGATAAGGACAAGAAGCAAACATATTTTACTTGTATATTTTGCCATGTACAAAATATATTATTTACAAATAAATTTTCAACAAAGTCTTTATCACTTTGGAATACATGAATAGTCAACTTAATATAATGGAAGTTTAACAACTATATAAATGGTGTGGACATAATAGTTTTATCATGAAGGACCCGCCACATAGTCTCATCTCTTCTCCCCTACACTGTACAGTACACTGACAGGTGCATAAGAGCCACACCCTGATTACACTGACAGGTACACAAGAGCCACACCCTGGACAGTAATAAGTTGTGCTTGTCCAGTAGTCAGTGTTACAAATCCTCTATAAACCATAAAGAGACAATCATGACTAACAAGTTTCAGTTGACTGTAAGAGTCTACACTACTGCCTCACTATCTGCCTACAGCCTATGACCTGAACCTACTACAGCTGTAACATAATTCATTCATGTACTCTTTTTATATTGTAATTGTTCTTTTGTGTTTGTTTCAGGTTTGTTGCTGAATTACAGTACTGGAGATGATGTACACAGTGTAAGATGAACTGGTTCTTCTACAGGCAAGTAGTGAAGCTGGGAAGACTGATGTATATGACCTGAACACTGTCAAAAAGTAGGTCGTGTTTTAATAGTATTTCACGTTGATTTATTTACTCGTATAGAGATTACAATTCAGTTACCTGTACTGATCAGTTGCTTTAACTTTGAATAGTACAGGTAACTGGTAATTAATTAATCCTATGAATGTCCACTTGATGCACCCAACAGTAAACAAACTATATAGTGCAGCCAAATAAATAAATACTGGAACTCAAAACATACACAGACATTAACTGTGACAAAATTGACAAACTTAAATTTTCTATGTATAATAAAACAGAAAGATCACCTTAGTTTTATTATAAATATTTACAACTTGTCAACAACACAATGATCATACAGGCTGAAGGTGTATGTTAAATAGATTCACTTCGTTAGTCTCTACCATCACTCATACACCTCAGTTATTAGTCAGGTTATTATTGGTCACCAGACACTCACTATGCAAGATCATATTTCCTTGCACACTTTCAAGATGCACATGGAATTGTACACTACTTTTCACTTGGGGTCTTGTTACCATAGAACATCTCAGTGTCTCATGTAGTAGTCAATAATAGAGGAAAACGCCGCAAAACCCAAGGCACCTACAACACCAGCTTTCATACCCGCTGAAAAAACAATAAATGTAAACAAAGAGTATATATACGTATTGAGAATGACTAATTATCGTATTAAACTATATCTCCTCAACAAGGAACTGTTATACAGCCACATCATACTTTATAATATATTGTATAGCCACATCATACTACATAAGAGACATACAGTATAGCCACATCATACTACATAAGATATATACAGTATAGCCATACCATACTACATAAGAGATATACAGTATAGCCACATCATACTACATAAGAGATATACAGTATAGCCACATCATACTACATAAGAGATATACAGTATAGCCACATCATACTATATAAGAGACATACAGTATAGCCACATCATACTACATAAGAGATATACAGTATAGCCACATCATACTATATAAGAGACATACAGTATAGCCACATGATATTTGTAAGTCCTCACAAGTATCACCCCCAGACACACCCACAACTCACCCCGTAGTCCCAGGATACCCCCCGTCACTCCACCTGCGTATGTGCCGTTCTTCCAATCAGTTTTCCCCCGATACTGGAAAACCAAACAATAATTGCCTGTATGTATTATTTTGACTAGAATATAATCCACCTCTAAGTCAACCATTCATAGATCAAGTTAAGATTATCCACCCTAATCTAAGCTTACTTAACCTAACCTAATTAACCCAGCCTCCCCAGGTAGCATTAGGGTGTTTAATAATCAGGTGAAATAAGCTGAGGGTTGTGATCATAAATAAGAACATACAGTAATATATCAATCATGTTTCTTCTGTTATTATTCACCCACAACAGCAACACTACTCACTGATTCAATGGCACACTCCACCCCTGAGAACATAAAACCAATGGCAGCGAAGTTTTTGCCGTACGATAGAGTTGAAACCTTTAGTTCTCTGAGGACCTGTAAGTACAATAACGTGAATACATCTGTAAGGGCAAATATATTAGTTAATACAATATGTTTCACCTAAAAAAAGTGTTGTTTGTCATGGCAAAAGATGATATACAATTAAATATATGCATAATAAGACTCCTATTTGGTTCCTTGTATAATACTATCCACCCATCAATGATTAATGAAAAGATTCCGTTTCTAAATCATATTACAATTTCCCACAGACCCACATTATAAAAGATCTAAAACAATGCCTCAATACTAACAATTTCAAGACGACTAAAAATCATCCGAGACGAAAGTTTATATTACCTCTCGTGCTGACTGTTGAGGCTTATCTGGGGTAGGTATCGAAGGGGTGACGCTGGCAGCAAATAAACCAATACCTCCACCCAGTACAAAACCTGTAATTAAGATTCATATTAAGTTATCTAAGATGCATTACTTTTATCACCAAAAGTGGGAGGAGTAAAACTAATAGAGTAATCTTAAATAACACCTTAATATGTGACCATGGAGTTATTGGAGGTTAGGTTAGGTTAGGTTCTGTACATTGTTTCCATTTTCTTAGTATCATGCAAATAACATCTCCAGAAATTTGGGTGCAATTCCATAAGTTCCTTCTGGTGACAACGACAGAACAAAGGTGAAATTACAAAACTAATTAATTTATAACTACTGTACAGGTAACCCAATTAACATGACCACAACTGACCCAGCATAAAAAAACATATCTATATAAACCGTGACTCATTACTAGGTGGAGGGGTCTTAGTATGTTTTAGAGGGGTACATTGAGTTAAAGCCACTACACTCACCAGCAAGTAATGATAAAACAGCTTTAAAAGGACAACTCTCAAAGGTGGCCTCCACTGTCTTCTCCTCTTTAGACTTGATCACTGTGGGAGTAAAACTTCTGGGGATGATCATGTTCTCTCTTTCTCTTCTCTGGTTCCCGACAAGAAACTTGGCTATCTGGTCGATCTCCTGTGGTGTAAAGAGTGGTATACGTCGACCCCCATCACTCACCCCGCCGTCTGTGTTGGCCTCTGCTGCCATGACTGCCTCCATGTTAATAGAGTACCACGAACACTCTCGGCCAACACTATCTAATTTTCTGGTAATACAAACTGCATAAACTTATCTTGAACTAATTAAAATTGCAATAGTATAATTAAATTAAGTTAATTGTGTATATTTATCGCAAAAGAATACATAAATTTAATTAATTCTCTTAACTTTTAGTTTTTTTCTAACATTAACCATCTTACCTCCAGACACACTGGTAAACATATATTGTTAACTATGTATTTTATGTTATTTATCTACTACTAAGTATACCAAAATTTTCTAAACTATTTTTTTTCTAAATTTTTATTGTATAATTAGAAACTATTACCAATAAATTTATGATATATTTACCAATATTAAAATTTACTTCTAAGACTTGACGACTTGTTGTTTACATCACTGAGGCGTGGTGGTGAGTATTGTTTACCTCATGGTGGTGTGGTGCTGCTGAGTGTTATTACCTCCTGGCCTTATATTACTCCTAGAAGTATGGCCAGCGACTTAAAATCATATGTTGAGAAGTATCTCCTGAACCCAGCGGCTTCTTTCAGCGTTGATGATGATGGAAACCAAGGTAAGGATGACCAGAGGCTGACATGGTGTGTGTGTTATAATACCTGACTTGTCTCATTATTCTGATTAATTTTCTGTACATTTCCGTCGCAAATGTCTCATAATGTCGTTCTTTAATGTTTAAAATCCAAGACAAAATCTATCAAAACTTCCAAGAAAATATACCTATGAAAACCTTACCTGACATTTCCTAACTCGTAAGACTAAAAAAAATGACCTTATATGTGTCTTGGTGTTTAGTCTGTGGTGGGTCTTGTTTCAGGTGTGTTCAGTCTGTGGTGGGTCTTGTTTCAGGTGTGTTTAGTCTGTGGTGAGGTCTGTGGTGGGTCTTGTGTTAGGTGACAACAGTCTAACACAAACTCTAAAGCCATTCTTAACCTTTATACAAGTTAGGAAAGGTTAGGTTAGGGTTTTCAATGGTTTGTTTGGTGTTATTTTCGTATTTTACCCCACATTTTCCCTCTGTAGCTACATAGTAATTAGACCTTTTTATTTCTATATATACTTAAGACTATTAAAATATTGTATGATAGTGATAATGGTCAAACTCCAGAATAATTAATTGGGTGTTATAGTTTACAGTCTACAAGGTTAGGTTAGACTAGAGATATCTTTGCAGACTGCACACAAAAGTAACACCACTCGCTGTGTTCAGAGCTAAAATGTCAGGCTCATAATCAGTTACAGCAAAACTGTTGGATCTTTATCAATCAAAGTGTTCTCATTGGTTGAAAATTAATTAATTAACTACTGTATTATCCATGCACTGTACTGAAGCAGAAATTCCCCAAACAGTAGAATGCTCATGTAGTAATTTGTTTATTCTTTCACCAGAAACAAAGGCTCAGGTGGTGGACGCCTTAGCAGAGGAGGAGCGGGCAGACTCGACTCGACAACCTGTAAGTAAACTGCGAGCAAGAAGTGCTGCCCTTCAAGGTGAGAAGGATCCTCGCTACAAGGGGAAGAAGGTACTGCGGAAGGACTTAAATAAGGACGACCAAATTGAATTTGATCCTGAACTTACTAAGTACTTTGCTGTTGAAGCAGATGAGGACACCGGTGAGGATGATGACGATGATGAGGATGATGATGAGGAGGAGGAAGATGATGAGGAGGAGAAGGATGAGGAAAGCAGTTTAGAAAATGAGACTGATGATGAGGTTGAAAATTTAGCAGTAAAACTGAAAAAGGCTAACACAGCCATTGAAGAGGATGATGAAGGCAGTGAGAGTGAGGACGACACAATAAAGAAAATCCATAAACAACTGAAGAAAGAACCAGAAGGTGTTACGTAAGTTGGGAGTTGTTATTATATTTATCCTTTTATTAGTAAAGTTTAGAAATAATGGAAGGAATAATACAGTTAATTTATGTGTAATAAAAGGTTAGCTGGAGGAAATTACTGTATGATGGGGTCTTGACTAACATACTTCCTCGATCAACTTACAGGTTTGTTGATGATGGAGATTTTAGTAAATTTGCTGATGATATGGATGAGGAGGACGATGAAGGTGATGATGATGAAGATGATAATGATGATGATGATGAAGGTGATGATGATGAAGATGATGAAGGTGATGAAGATATGGAAGAAGAAGCAGATGGTCAAGAAGATTCACTCAAGAAGTTCAGCATTGGAGACCAGTGTGAGGAAGTGAAGAAGGGTCAAGCTGTAAAGAATCAGCTTGGTATGGATACTTATGGTTATGTTTTGTTAAAAGGTGTTTTTCTTGATGGACACTTGGACTTGTGTGGCCAAATGCATCATCTTGTTTTAGAAATAATTTAGTATTAATTCTGGCACTAATTATGGCCATTGGCTGGGTAAGGTAAAGGGGGTACAGTGGCTCAGTGGATACATCTCTCTTCTCCTGTCCTAAGGGTCACTAGTTTCATCCCAGGGCACTCAGTCCACCCAGCTATAAATGTGTTCCTGCCTTTACATTTTGGGAGCTGAAGGTGGTCTAGTGTTGTGATGGGCAGTATGTCTGTGCAGCCAACTTTCCAAGGCTTTATCTGATAATTTTGCTTCATGTTTATGTAGAACACAGAGAAGTTGTGTTGATTCATGACATATTATCTTGACCACAGCCTTTCCTTTGTCCTTATAATGCAAACCTGGCAATTGATGCAGTATTATGTAAATTATTTTATTTTTCATATTTAAGGTACTGTACTCGCGAACTGGCCTATAAAACTTGTGTTCTTTTACAGCAATATACGACACTCTCTTTGAGGGTCGTATAGGTCTGCAGAAGGTGGTCACTGGAACCAATCAGCTGCCTCAATATGATACTTACAAGAAGTTCGTGCAGGAGTGCGACCCACACTACAATAAGAACCTCATTACAGCCAAGTCAGCGGCCAAGAATTTACTGAACAGTCTTCTTAATGTCCAGGTACTGACGGACAAGATGACTAGTGGATGTACATGAGTTACAGATAAAAAATTAGTCTTTCAAATTTTTTCTAATTGAGATTTGTAGACTTCTTTATATACCAGGGAATACCTGAGTAGATTTTTAGTCTTAATGATTTTTTTAGGTGTGGAGGAATGTGGGTTAAGTAATGATAAAAAAATGACTGGCAATTATAATTCCATCAATTTATATTTACTTATACATTGCAGGAATTGTTACTCAGGCAAAATTCTGAGACAAGTTACATCATCACTGGCAAGAAACCTAAACATTTGGGGACTGACAGGTTAGTTACAGGTGACTCGTATTACCTTCATTAAATAATACATAATTTGAATCACTTTTGTGCAGAATGGCTGGAATTAATAACTTTTCTCATGAGCTGTCATTTGTTCTCTAAATTACTTATCACCAAGATGCCAGATGTACTATATATTAATCACTCAATCAACACCAATAAGATTCACCCAATGTGTGGTTAACTTCAGTGATGAGGAAGTAACCAGTAGTGAAGAAGAGGAAGAGAAGGAGGTCTTGCTAAACTCCCGGGGAACCAAACGCAAGATGAAACTTGAGGAGTACGATGAGGTCCTGAGCAAGAGACACGCGGCGATGGTGCCGTTTAGAGACCAAGCTGTAAATAAGTGAGTTGTACTGTACCGCCTTATTGAGGAGGTCGTCTTTGGCTCTGACTCAGTGTCTTGGGCCAGCCTTTGTGACTGTTAACTATAAGATATTTTATTATTATATTACAAGGATTATATGAAGATTAATAGTGCCAGTAAATTCCTTGGTGAAAATTATGTTCAATTGTTAGTTGTACATCATGTCCATTTTCCACACTTGCATGGGTTAGCCAGTGATGATGATGTTACTTAAATATACAGTAGTCATATAAAGTTCCTTCAAAAGATGTCCAATCACTTATTCCTGAAGCCAAAAAGAGACAACTTACAATTATTATCCTCAATTTCAGATGGTACGAGAAAACGAAGCTTCTATCTAGTCGCAACGCTCGTGACAAATTCAGCGGGTTTCAAGTCTCTGCCTTGCAACAGCTGAATAACATCCTGGCAAACAAGCAGCCATTGATCCGGCGGACTCAGCTGACGGGAGCCACCAGGGGCATCACCTACCATATCTTAGGTCGAAGTGATAACACAGTAGGAGAGGTGTGGTATAAGAACCATCTTATGTTATAGTTCCTCATTAGTTACTGCCAGTGCCTTCTTATTCTCTCAAGTAGTGTTTGAGTCACCTGTATGTGTGTATTTAATTAGTACTTATTATACATTAAACTCGCCATTTTATAATAGTTTATCACTTTACAGCAATAACTTTGTGTGTGTGTGTGTGTGTATGTTTGTTGGTAATCCAGGGCTTTGTTTGACATCCTTTCACTAATTTTATCACTCTGCAAGTTTACAAGATATGAGACATCTATTACAAGTGATGTATGTACAGTGTTGCTTTGAAATAATCATTAGCAAAATCTGGCATGTTATGACGAAAGAAATTGCAAACATTGTATTTTACATTTGCTTCACATAGGGGAATCTTATGTCACAAACTGCTTTATCATATACCTGTTGTTTTACCACAGATGTATTGTTATCCACAGGTGGACAAAGAAGAATATGATCCAGAAATATTTGACGACACCGACTTCTACACAAGGTCCCTGGAGGAGGTGCTGAAGGCCAAAGTGTCACTCTCAGACAACATGACCGATGTTTCTCGTAAATGGATTGAGATCCAGAACCTGCGAAAAAAAGCCAAGCGAAAAGTTGACAAGAAAGCAAGCAAGGGAAGAAAAATCAGATATCAGGTAGAGTTACAGAATACTGATTAGTGGAAGGATTAAGAACTTGCGAAGTGTTAAGTGGGTGTTTGGAAAGGCAGAGGAGGGGGGATGCAATGGGTGAAAAGATGTTCATTGGGATGAGGTGGACAGTCATCCACAAAAGTCCTATCGCTCCTCCTCCTAAACGACTAACCCTGAGATTCAGACTCGTGAATCCGAAGCATTTATGGACAGAATAGTGCTTCGGGTTCACGAGTCTGAATCACGGGGTTCATGGTTCAGGAGGAGAGGCAACAGGACTCTTGTGGTTCTCTGTACAGATGCAATGGATCAGGTATGATGATTACAGAGACTGTTTATGTTGTTAAGGGAGAGGAGGTGTAGTAGAGTCACCTGGAGGCTCTTCTGCTGTGACCACCATCTAATAGGAGGTGTTGTTGATAAGTGTTGAGGAATTTACTACCAGTTTCACAAATATATTTTAAGGAATGTTAGTTATTTATAGTCAGTTCCAGGCAGTAAAGTACAGTTTCATATGAAAAATTAAAGAATTGTTTTGAATATTCAGGGTAATGTGACGTACAGTACCTGTATAATAATTGTTCTTTTTGACTTTGTGTCTGTTGCCTATATGTCAGGGTATTTTACATAGGTGCTGGTTTATACTTTTATATAGGCAGTCATTTATAGTTTTTACTTTCACTGTTGCAGGTGATGAGTAAACTCCAGCAGTACCTCGCTCCGTGCTACCCACCATGGATGGATGACTCGGCCATCAACACTCTCTTTGCTTCCCTCTTTGGAAAATCAGTTCAGGAAGTCAAAGAAGTTGATGCGCAGTGAATGTCATAATGAATAAAAGACATTAGCTCATACACTTTAACAGAAGTACTGTATAAATATTATAATAAATATCTATTGTTATTGTTTTTTAACAGTTGTCATCATTAGCCTTGGTTAGAAAACAGTGCTTCAATTTTGTAGACTATATCGCTTGAATCTAAGACTAATCTAATCTTTTCCCCAGATTTTATTGTCTGCCGTATCACTACACATTTCTCTTCTCTCTATTCACCTAATCCTCTGTTCTTTCCTTATGTCTTATTCCAATTTTCCATACCTTAATGTTGGTAATCTTCCTCTACTTAACACACGCATTCTACTTTACCTGTATGACCTTTTCTGCCATTATTCTCATTCATAAAATACCTAAGAGAACCAATCTTAACCCACTGCACCAGCTCCTCACCTCATACACTTCACATCTCTCACAATTTCCTTGTATTTAACCCCAGATGCAGTCCTCGGGCAAATCCCAAATTTCCCAGCTTTAGTTCAGACAGGAAGGACCAATACTATCTAATAACTACTTGCCTAAACCTGTTCATATTCAAGACATTACATACCACTGGAATTATTACTGAATGGTAAGTGTATTGAGTTATCTAACTTTGATTTATAATCTAAACATTTGGGGAAGGTTTACACTTTGTCACCATCAGCCATAGGTAGAATATTCTCCCCTATATTGGTGCTATTTCGTGATTTAATAGATGAATACCTGTACCGTACTTCAAAATTTTGAATTGATATTGAAACGGGTATGCCAAATAAGAATGAATCATCTTCATGTCTAGTACTGTATTGTGTTGCAGGGGAATAGTGAATACTGTATTTTGTATAAAGGAATAATGTGATGGTATTAGACAGACATTGCATGTACTGTATGTATACAGTTCAACAACTATGTAGACAATGCTGTTATACAATCAGCATGAATAATACAGGTACACAGAATATCATGTGGAACTATTGTCATACAGGAGGAATTATATCCCTATTAGTTGGATGCTTGTACTAGAGATGGAGCAGGTGTGTCGGCAGTTTACATAATTTGCGCTTTAACGCGTGCTAGGTCAAGCTAGGTGGCGTGGCGGTAGTTATAAAATGGCTCCAAACGCCGGCCACCAGTGTGTTGTTTGTGGGAAGATAGAAGGAATGGTAGTGAGCTAAGGTTTCATTTCTTCCTAAAACACAGGCCTAAGGTAAGTTCATAGCTATGCGGTTAATTCATAAGCACTGACGGTTGAATTACAGTTTAATTTATCATTTCACCACTTAGCTTAGTAGCCATTCGGGCGGCAGGTCTTTACTTGTTATTGTGTTGTGAATTTGATTGTCTAGTAGCAGCCAGTGATCAACCTCTATCCCCTCTTCTTATATAATTATGTTTCGTGTAAATTTTATCTTTTCAAAGTTACAATTAAAAATGCAGGAAACCAATAGAAGAAAAGAGCGAGGTGAATATTAGTGGTTCGTTGCATATCTGGAATGAGGAGTTAAAACTACCCCAAAAAATACAAATAAAAACGGGGTCACTCATTAGTTCTTTAGCTACAATTTAACCAGTTATTTGTAAGTACATATCCACGGGTACTTGTGATAAATTTACGGTCTTGTATACTGGAGCCAATACCTTTTTAACCTCTGCATTTTCCTTCAATATAACAGTACTAATCGATATCATCCTTGACTAGTTTCTTCCTGCTTCTAATGTATATTTTCAACTGCATCTGTGACATAATTAAAAGCTAACTTTGAGTAAAAAAAATAATAATTAAGTGGTATTTTCTAGGCCCTTTACTTTCAGCCACATTTAACTAATAAGGTGATAAGTGGTGAAATGATAAATAATAAAAATAGATAATTAGATGAATGACGATAGTAAAGAAAGTTAAGTCAACGGGAAATACACTGTACTAGAGTTAACGTTAAAAAGAATCACTCTAACACGGACCATTCCTCTGATATCTAGCTTGTCCAATAGATGGCGCTAGTGTCGGCTAAAGAAAATATAAATGGAGTTAGTTGAATTGCTGCAGTATTATGTAACTATTGTATTGGTTGTATAGATGTGTGTGTTGTATTGATTGTATTATATATGTGTTGTTTATATAGCTGTGTATGTATTTTAAATATTGTATTATTATTACAGTATATGTTGTACTGATTTTAGTTTGGCGTGTTGTGTTAGATATATGTATAATACAGTAATATAAGACAGCATTATATTAAGACAGCATTATATTAAGCAAGTTGTAACAAATACTTTCCTAAAAGTTGTTGAGTTTCTATAACCTTCTGACATTTCATTATTACGTTGTTGAAAGTTGACATGTATATCCAGGTCGGCTTATTGATTAAAGGTTAGTTTAATGTGTATGTGCGTGTGTGTATGTTTGTAGAACATTTACATAACGATTATATAACAATTATTACAACTTTATGAAGTATGACTGAGTACACCTAACGCATCTATTGGTCGATAATATTTCGATATCGTTCGCAATGATTGATAACGATATCTTTATCTATATCATAATAGACCAAAAAAAATCGTACTATAACGATTGATTTGTTTATTCTTTACATAAAAGATTCCGAGAAATGTGTAGCGAGGCGGTGAGGGGGTGAGGGGGTGTTGAGGTGAGGGGGTGAGGGGGTGTTGAGGTGAGGGGGTGTTGAGGTGAGGGGGTGTTGAGGTGAGGGGGTGGCTGCCGGGCAACACTGACGCCTGTACACACACACAAACATTAGTTGTGACTCCCTCCAAACAACTCTATATTAATTTAATCTCTCTTATCTATTTCATCATCTTACACATAGATACAGGCATTAATACTTTTTAATATTTTTTATATAATCAGTATAAAAATTATGTATAATTTAATAGATATGTGGCGAAAAATATAAAAAGATTCGGTTGATGTAGAGTCAGTGTGGACGAGGTGCTGTTGTGAGAGGGTGTCACCTCCTTCACAGTTCACGTGTTAGTTAAGTGTAAACCTTCGATATTATTATTTTATTTACATAGTTTAGATCATCATGTAAGACTAGAATGATGTGTAAACAGTGATGGATAATAATATTGATGTCATTGCTTACAGTTAAGAAAGGTGATTGTAGAAACCAGAGACTGTAACTAGTGATGGCTACCAACAAGTACTGGAAAATGGTTAAGAGAAAATGTTCTTAATAATGGTGAGTGTTACGGCTTTTTTATTATATTGGATCATCTGAAGATTAGACACCCTAACTTATTTCACCTGAATATTAATCATCCTAATGTTACCTGGGTAGTTAGGTTAGGTTTGATTAGCTTTAGGTTAGGTTAGCATTAATTAGATTATTATTATTATTATTACTCTCCCTGTTGCTACAGCTACCATTACCCAGTGTCGCCAAACAAAGCTATATTCGAGACCACAAGCTAAATATTTCATTAGCTGTGGTGGTGATGATCGATAATGATAGTATCTCTCAACTACTTGTGCCCGCCCTTACTGAGGTGAGACACGAATGAGAACTAGTGAGATAATGAGACACAAGCAGGTGTTATGAGAGAGAGAGAGAGAGAGAGAGAGCAACACAGGCAAGTAGTCAGAGAGAAAAAAAAATTACTTACCATATTTTGAGAATCCATCATTGTGTCGTAGCTTTAATGAATCAGTTTTAACCTCATAACTTACGAGGAAAATTTAACGTATCTACGAACCTTTGAGTAAGTCAAATAGATTCACCATCATAATTTAAGACCAAAAAAAAACCCAGACTTACGAACCTTTGTGAACTCTTGTAAGTGTCGTGCCCTGAGTGTGCCAGAGAGCGTGAGGTGAGGAGTGTTTTGGTGATCTTTTGATATGGTAATGTGGGAGAGTGTGTGTGAGTGAAGGATGAGAGATAGGTAGTGAGTGAGAGATGTATCGTGAGTGGGAGAGAAGCAGAGAGAGAGAGAGAGAGTTCAAGGTGTAAATAGCAATATCTACTGTCAATGAAAAATTCTCTCTCTCTCTCCACAACACCTGAGGGCCCCGACAAATCTTCTCACCAGGTGTTTAATGAACTTAAGAACACCTGTACGTTAGCCCCTTATACCTTACGTCTTAAGACCCTTGGTATAGTGTGGAGGTAGAGAGGTAGAATGTGTGGAGGTAGGGAGGTAGAGCCTGTGGAGGTAGAGAGGTAGAATGTGTGGAGGTAGAGAGGTAGAACGTGTGGAGGTAGGGAGGTAGAATGTGTGGAGGTAGGGAGGTAGAATGTGTGGAGGTAGGGAGGTAGAATGTGTGGAGGTAGGGAGGTAGAGTCTGTGGAGGTGAGAGGTATAGAGTGTGGAGGTAGAGTGTGTGGAGGTAGAGTGTGTGGAGGTATAGAGTGTGGAGGTAGAGTGTGTGGAGGTAGAGTGTGTGGAGGTAGAGGCCGCATGATGGGGAGGTCACCTTCAACACCTGTGGTCGGCGATGCTCTCAGTGTTGGCTCATGCTCACCTGTGTGTCCCGGTGATTGGTTGTGACTGTTATTGGTGACTATAGTAAGCTTTGTCAGATCAAACTATGCCAGTAGAAAAACATACATCTCTAGGGTTATTATTTGTAAAATGTAAGGATGCATTATCGCCTCAGGGACTATATTAGATACTGCACATGATGTTACTGTCTACTTTAAATGTGTCATCAGTTCTCTGAGCATGTAAGCTTTGGTCTTGGCGGGAGGTGTAGTGATGGTTTGTCAGACCACAGCTTACATCTGAGAAACTCCAGTCTGACCGGACATTAGCCGAGGGCAAGTATAGGGTAACTCTGCGGTTGACCAAGGATTGTAAACCAACTAGCTCCCCCTCCCATGTCACACATGTAAGAAGGCACCAGCCGACTCTCTCCCAATATACAATAACCTACACCGCAGAAAGAAGTCCAGACCTGACCTCACAATTAGCCAGGTCACTTGTAACCCTTGGAACCCAACTCAAGGCCTCTCGTGTTACACGGCCCCACCTGACGACTTCTCCTTACATCTCAGAAACTCCAGTCTGACCCGACGTTTGGGAAGTCAAGTGTAGGGGAACTCTCACGGTTGCTCTCCCAATATACACATGGCCCCACCTGATGACTTTCCCAGATAGTTCTGAAAAGTCCAGGCCTGACCGCACATTTGCGGGGTCAAATGTAAAGAGACCCTTCGCCGCCCCCCAGGCCAGCTGAACCTGACGGCTCGCTTCCCAATATATAGGACGTCCTGGTCCTCCCTCGGGAATTCGCAGAGAAGTAGTTGTCTTGTAACAAGGTGGCCAGCTACTACACCACCAGGCCTGCTCGAGAGAAGTCAGAGGCCGGAGGCAAGTCGCCTCCGGTCAGGACCGAGACTTCCCTCCGGTGTCCCAGCTAAGCAGGCGCCCTCCCGACACCAGTGTTCCAGCTAAGCAGTCTCCCTGCTAGGCCTCCCCTAGGTCACGTGAGTGTTTGTCAGAGCTTTCCATGGGATGAGTTACCTACGTGGGAAGTGTATTCATTTCATGTTCGTGTCCGAGAATCAGAGTGTCTAGTAACGTAATATGATGTCCTAGTAACGTAAATATAATGTCCTAGTAACTTCAATAGAAGGTGTTATTAATGGGTCCATGTCATGTCGTTAATTAATAAAGAGTTGTAACGAAGCAGTGTTTGAGAAGTCGCCCTTAAGACGTAATAGAAGTGTATTGACGTATAAGATACGATAAGTGTACTGACAGTGTAAATAACTATCACGGCCACGCTACCAAAGTCTTCCTCTCTTTATACTCTTATACTATCAATATTCTACCTATATGTAATCTTCTTCTTGTGAGTTTTGTCTCATTACAATGGTGGCAGCGCCTTAACGTAATACTCACGCCTCTTAACTTTAGTGTTCAGTACAGTGATAGTTAGAATCTTTTGAAGTAATCTCGTAACTATCTTGACGAAGCAGGCAGTACAAGGGTGGTTGCATTCGTAACATTATATTGGTGGCATTCACGCTTCCCTCGTCCCTTGTTATTGGTAACAGTGTACTTAACGTAAACCCATGCCCTCCCTCGGTTAGCCATAACACCTGGCTCGTTTCATCCTTCATTTGTTTCAGTCTAAGTATTGTCTACAATTGTGTAATAAGTAATTCCTGTGTCATAGCG